ACAATTGTCTTGATAATTATTGCAGGTAGGAACACAGGAACGTTTCTAATACCTTGTATATATATATACCTTGTATATATATACCTTCTCCTCCTGACCGATAAGGAAACAACTTCGCCAAAATAATATTCCAGCCCTTAACCGCTATTGGCCGAGAGCGAAAGGTACCGGGGAGTATTTTTTAACAAATGTTTTAGAATGTCGGAGGTGAATCTGTGACAAAATAACGGAATACAGAGCTGGATGGCTAAAAAGAGTTTTAGAGACCGAATATATATATATATATATATATATATATATATATATATATATATATATATATATATATATATATATATATATATATATATATATATATATGCTGATAACCACAAGGAAAAAGAAAACACGAAGTTTCCAAGCGCTTTCGTGTAATTCACATCTTCAGGGGTGAGTACAAACTGTTTGTACTCATCCCTGAAGATGTGAATTACACGAAAGCGCTTGGGAACTTCGTGTTTCCTTTTTCCCTTATGGTTATCTACAGTGCATATACATGGATCACGCGTACCTACAGTGATTTACTGGCATATACTGTATATATATATATATATATATATATATATATATATATATATATATATATATATATATATATATATATATATATATATATATATATATATATATATATATATATTAGGGTGGTCCTTATTTTTCCACTTTGAAATTTTTTACCACGGACCCTGCTAAAAGTGTCCATTTAGGACAAAAACATTGTGTGTAGAGTTATTTTGAAATATATTAATATTTAAAGGTTGCTTGAAGCTGTCAATAATTAAGTCATCGATGTAGTCGATTACTTTGTAGCCAATTACGCCCACCACTAGTGCGTCGCATTTGGCACGATTGTTGTGAGTTTTTGCTGGTCGTGATTGATGATTGGGGAAATTAGAAGCAGTATTCTCATTATTAATTTATATTAATAGTTAATTTCTTTATTCCTCAGGTCAAAATGGCTAATGCAGGAGTAAAAACACGGGAAAATGTGTATTTGATAAAGACATTATGTGATGACATTACAGGGGCTAAGTTACCTTCAAACAGGCAAGTGTTACAGTATTTTTTAAGCCTGCATCGCATACAGAAAAAAACCATCAGAGTGGCAGCTGGGGAAGTCACAGTCAAAGTTGTTCAATTTTGGACAAAAGCAAACATTCCCGCACACCACAAACCAGATTGTGTGAATCAAGTGCACAAAATGTTTGACAAGTGGAGTAGTTTGAAAAAGAACTCTTCAAGAAAGACAGAAACTCAAAAGCAGAAAGAGAAAGAGTTTGCTGATACATTTGAAGATCTCTTTAACATTGCACATGTGAATGCTTTGAATATGATGACAGTTCAGGAGGATAAGGATTTCTTAATAGCGCAACGAGAAAAAGGGGGTCGTGGGGCAATGTCATCTCTTGGCAAAGTATTCCTGAAAAGACAGAAACGACGAGAAAAATCTCTCAAGAAGGCAATGAAAAGGAAGTTGACTGCAGACAGTGCAGAGGAAGAAGCCAAAAAATGCCAGGCCATCGTTGTCTTGGACAGCAGTAGTACGTCTTCTTCTGAGGAATCCAACCCAGTTCTTGGCCCATCAGCACTTCAAACTCCACCTACTGTCTAAAAGCGTGGGCGAAAAAAAGTTCTAACTCAAGAACTTTCTGCAGCATTAGATCGGACCAAGTCCTCAGATAAAATGGCCATGCACATTGTCACCCAAACTGCTCGGAGTCTGGGCCATGATGTCAGTGAATTGATTCTGAATCGATCAAGCATCAGGAGGAAACGTCAGCATCATCGCAGTAGCAGGGCAGCTGAAATCATTTCAAACTTCAAACCAGAGTCAGTTTTAATTTTTCGCTGGGATGGTAAATTGATGCCTGATTTGACGGGGCATGGGGGCCATGTTGACAGACTCCCAGTTCTTGTCTCAGGCAATGGCACCTCCCAACTTCTTGCTGATCCAAAACTTCCCTCTGGTACCGGTGATGAAAAAGCAAAAGCTGTTGTGAAGGCTTTGCAACAATGGCACATTGCAGACATCGTGCATGGCATGTGTTTTGATACAACAAGCTCAAATACTGGTCACCACAAGGGTGCGTGTGTCAAAATTGAGCAGTTTCTGGGTCGTGATTTGCTATATTTTGCCTGCCTCCACCATGTACTAGAACTTGTAGCTAGAGCTGCTTTTGAAGCTGTAATGGGGCACTCAGCTGCTCCTGACATACAGCTGTTCCGAAGATTCCAAGCCAAATGGGAACAAATTGACAAGCAGAAGTTGAAGACTCCTCCACCGACGATCTGGCAGAAGAATCGGTCAGAGCTGTTAGGGACGAACTAACCAACTTCATTGAGAAGGCTCTATTGGAGACACAGCTTCGAGATGATTATCGAGAGCTGCTAGAGCTGGCCTCCATCTTCCTTGGAACATCACCTTCTCGGGGAGTACGATTTTCTGCTCCTAGTGCAATGCAACAAGCACGATGGATGGTAAAGACCATTTATTCCTTCAAAGTGTGGTTATTCCGTTCTCAGATTAAGCTTACTCCAGAGGAGAACAGAGGACTAAGGGATTTGTGCATTTTCTTTGCCCAAATATATGTGAAGGCTTGGACAACTGCTCCACTTGCTGCAAAGGCACCAAAAGGAGATCTGATGTTGCTTACAGCTCTACAAGACTACAGTACCATCAGCGATGTCATATCAAAGGCAACTTTCCAGAAAATGATGAGACACCTGTGGTACTTGTCAGAAGAGTTGGTTGCATTGGCCTTCTTTGATGACGATGTTCTCCCAGCAGTGAAGGACCGCATGTTGGAAGCTATGAACATCGTTATTGGAGAAGAAAAGCATGTCAAACGGGTTACAATCAATCCAGACACACTCCAAGTGAAGAACCTATATGATTTCACGACAAAGAACACAAAATCATTTTTCAAAAAGCTCAACTTGAATACAGATTTCCTGGCCCTCCCAGTAGAACAGTGGAAAGATGATCCTGGCTTCCAAAATGCAAAAGCCAGTGTACAAGCTTTGTCTGTGATCAATGATCATGTAGAAAGAGGAGTAGCCTTAGTCCAAGATTTCTCAGGCCGCATCACCAAGGACGAACAGCAACTGCAGTATCTACTGCAGGCAGTTGCTGACCACAGGAAAGCATTCCCTAACGCCCTCAAGCAGACCTTACTGGGCGACAAAGAGTGAGACTGGTCCTCATGCGACCTCTGCCTTGAGCAGCTAATACCCACTTAGACTAAGTGGGGGGGGGCCCAGGCTTGGGGCTAGGAAATGATGTGTTATGAACATTAAGCATAGGCATAATATTGTTAAATTTCATTTGACTTGAGCAACCTTTAATTATTAAGATATTTAAAAAATATTTTACAGGCAATGTTTCTACCCCAAATGAAAACTTTTGCCAGGGTCTGTGACAAAAAAAGGCAAATTTGTTTTTTGCCCCAAAATAAGGACCACCCTAATATATATATATATATATATATATATATATATATATATATATATATATATATATATATATATATATATATATATATATATATATATATATATATATATATATATATATATAGGTTAAATCAGGAAAAATTAGATTACGTTACGTTAGGTTGGATTAGATTAGGTTAGCTTAGCTTAGGTTAGGTTAGCTTAGGTCAAATTAGGTTAGGTTAGGTTAGGTTTGGTTAGGTTACCATTAACCTAACATAACTAAACCCATGTTCTCGGCTGCTTGAGATGGCGGCAAAGAACCTTAATTTTTCCAGGGAGTTTTAAATTATATTTTTTTTGTGATGCTTTTTAAATGAAGACGTTATAATGATATTACTGTGCTTCAACGGCTAAGGACTTTAAGTGTGAAACAAGGTTAATAATTACACTTTACTTCAACAATAAAAAATTATGAGAGAGAGAGAGAGAGATGTTGAAAGCGAGAGAGAGAGAGCCATAGGGAAAGAAAGACAGAAATAACAGATAATGAAAAAGAGACATAGATAAAACCTAAGAAGCAAAATGAGACTAATAAATAACTACAACAATTAAGGTACGAATAAACGCACAAAACCAGAATGATAATAACAAAAATAAATAATGGTAACAGTAGAGGAGGGATTGAAGGAAGACTAATTAAAAAGGCAAGAAAGAATGATAGGAAGAATAATAGGAGAAATTAAACATATATAAGGGTGTCATGGCACAAAATAAGACCGATAAAAGTAAGAATGAGAGACAAACAGAAAAAGCAGAATGCCATGTAGTAACAGACAGACAGACACACAGACAGACAGACAGAGCTTGGTTTTCTGGTGGACTGTGTGTCACTCTTCAATCCTTTATGGTTGGAGATCAATACTCTCTCTCTCTCGCCTGTATTCATTTTAATGGTCCTAACTTGGTGTTTTCATTCTCAATCGATGTGGTTTTTATTCTCTTTCTCTCATCCTCTCACTTATAAGAAATTTGCCAGAGAAAGGAGTGATAAACGACTCACTTAACCCACTATACTTAATATCGGGTAATTATAGATGATATTCCCGATTTTAAACCTCGTTCACCCGATTAAAACCTCAATTCTATTTTTCCTCTGAAGCAATGTCATAAATGAAGTTTTTGTTTCATCAATGTAAATAACTTTGGAAAAAATAAATGAAAGGACAAATGAAGCTGTTAGAAAAGCAAATTATGGTTTGCTATAATAGGCCAAACTATGTGTAGATGGAATAGATCACCAGTTTGATGTATGCAGGGCCGTAGAGCCATTCTTCTCTAAATTCTTTCTAGGGATTCTATATACATTCTGCAGTACGGTGACCAGAACTGAACTGCGTAATCCAAGTGAGGCCTCACAAGCACACGATATAGTTTTAGGATAACTTCGCTAGTCTTGTAACTAACACTCCTTTGTATGAACCCAAGTACTTTGCTGGCCTTTTTTCGAGCAAATACATATTGCTTACTAAATCTTTTTCCCAGTCGGGTTTTTCTATAACATCGTTAGTCATCTGGTATCTGGTTTCTCTGTTTACATCTGCTAGACTAAGTACTTTACATTTGTCTACATTAAATTTTATCTACCATTATTCAGACCATTCGAATTTTTTTTTTAGATCTTTCTGTAGTTTTGCGGAGTCCTCGTCAGATTAATTTCACTCCCTACTTTAGTATCATCAGCAACTTATGTTGCTGTCTACGCCTATATCCATGTCGCGCATGTATGTAATAAATAATAATGAACCAAGTACTGAGCCTTAGGGTACTCCAGTAGTGACGTTTCTCCAATGGGATTTAGTGCCGTTAATGCTCACTCGCTGTTTTCTGTCCTGTAACCACGACCTAAGCCATTTTAGAATATCTCTTCCAATGCCACGAGCCTCCACTTTTCGTTTAAGTCTTTAGTGAGGGTCTATGTCGAAGGCTTGTGCTAAAGTCGAGATATACCACATCATAATCGTACCCGTCGTCCACTGATTCGAAAAGAGCTAAACAGCTGAAAAAAAAATTAATCATAGATGAACGCCCGCTTGTCAAGCCATGTTGGGAATTATTGATCAACTTGTGCTTCTCCAGTTGATTTCGAATAGAGTTTGAAATTATTGCTTCCAGAAATTTGCCTACAATTGATGTTAAACTGATTAGACGGTAGTTAGAGGATAGTGATCTATCTCCCTGATTGAAAATCGATATTACATTCGCTATTCTCTCGGATTCTGGTACTACACCCGTTTTTATGGACATGTTAAACAAATTTGCTAAGGGCATACTAAGCTCTCCCTTGCATTCCTTTAATACTCTGGCAAATATCTCATCGGGACCAGGTGACTTATTAGGCTTTAGCTTTTCTATTTGCTTTCTAACATCGTAACTAGTTACTACCTCGTTTAATCTATTTTATTCACTATCTTTGTGTATAGTCGGTGCCTCGGGTATCGTTGTTGGGTCTCCAGGAAAAGTGATGTCGCCCTCTGTGGGTACATAGCATGAGGTCATCTCACTTTATGTCATGTAATTCACCCCCCAAACGTGATACCCCTTCTCATAGCTGCCTTTTGAAACTATCAAAGTTTGTCCTTCTGAAACCTGGGACTTTAATGGAATTTTCCTTGCGACGGTCATTAAATTCAAATTTCAATCTTACTTCTTTGTGATTGTTGTTATCAAGTTCGTTCCCTACTTCGACATCGCGAATGAGGTTTTCTCTGTTTGACAGAACTAAATCGAGTTTAACATTACCCCGGGTGGGTTCGGCTATATGTTGACTTAGGAAACAGTCCTAAACTGTCTCAAGAAAATCCTCTGATTCTAAGTTACCCATAAGGTCAATCCAATCTATTTGGCTAAAGTTGAAGTCGCCAACTATACAGACTTTGCCATGTCTGGATGCCCTGCGTTTTTCATCCCAAATAAGTTTCTCATTAACTCTATCAAGAACAGGAGTATATATTACTCCTGTGATTAATTTTTCCCTACCATTGGTTAATTCTATTAAATTTTTTGCTGTATTCGGTTCAGTTTGTTATTTCCTTATTTATTTCACACTTCAGATTATCCATGGCGTAGATTGCTACTCCGTCTCCTTTCCTAATCTGCCTATTTTTATGGATTAGCTTGTAACCTGCAATTTGGTATTCGACAGGTAACTCACGTGAATCCAAGTTTACCAAATTGGCACTGCCAGGAGTAAGGAAGACAGCCAATAAAACAGAAAAGAGAGTTGGTGCCAGTACACTCCCTTGTTTAACTCAGACTGGGTGCCATTATGCAGGACACTGTACACTGGCACACTACAACACAGCACAACACAATACAACACAACCTTTTTATTACGAGCGGTCATCTCAGCACGCTTCAAGTCTTCGATGATGTTTTGATTGAACTGCATATGCCCAGACCATTTTCAGCAGTGTACTTTCGCCAACAAGTTCTGTCGCCTCACCTGCCTCTTCATGAACCCAGAGATGGATTCATAAACCTATGAGGTCTCTTAATCTCTGGGTTCTTGAAGGGGCATGTGAGGTGACAGGACTTTTGTTGGTGAGTGTACAGTACAGTACAGTACAGTACAGTACAGTACATTACAGTACAGTACAGTACAGTACAGTACAGTACAGTACAGAACATTACAGTACAGTACCAGTGCCGGATTTAGACCTGTGGAGGCCCATGGGCAGCCTCTTTGTGGAGGCCCCCCTCATTATAACTACCCAAGAGGGTGGGGTGGCGAGTGAAGCAGCCGAAACATCTGGGAGTTCCGGGGGGTGCTGTAAGCCCCCCGGGAAAATTTTGAAATTTGAACACTTCTTTGTAGAATTTTGAAGCCATATGCAGTTATATTGAGGAAATTAGAACACAGCGCCCTGATGGTATTCATAATGGAAGTGATAAAGAAAAAAATATTTTTTTTTTATTAATCTCAATTTCGTTTTTCCATGTAGTTCATTTTTAATCATTATATGTTTGTGGAATTCTAAATATATTATTAGCAACACAAACAATAGCATTCATTAAAAATATACGGTTCATAGATAAACCAGGTATTCATGAATTTTAAGGAGTAGCTGCTGAACATAGTTTTACGTGATGGAATAGATAAACATGAATTTTAAAGAATGAAAATAAAAATAATCCAAATGAATAAACAAATAAATAAAATATTGTAATATGTGGAGGCCCCCAGATTGTGGAGGCCCCTGGGCAGCTGCCCACTTTGCCCACTCCTGAATCCGGCCCTGTACAGTACAGTACAGTACAATACAGTACAGTACAGTACAATACAGTTAGCTCCGCACGCTACACTAGTATTCAGGTGACCATAAAAATAAAAGTTAGCCATATAATAAATCCATTTTCTAAGTCATGTTATGTTTTGTTCTCTGTAACGCACTTTTTTGGGTAACTAAACAAAAATATTGAAAAGTATTTCTGATGCCATTTCATCCGCGCTCTCTATCTCCACATACCATTTAGTGCCCATACAAACTTTTGCATACCATTACCAATTCGTATCGTAAATCAAACCAACTCTTACCAAAAAGGAATGATTACCATTTGAAAAAACACTTCGGGGAGGTGTTCATGATAGCCCCTCATTATTCAGGAAAACATTGACATTTATCTCAGATAAATTATATAAAATATAATACGTATTAGTCGCTACAACTCGTGTCACCTCACATGGCGGTCCTTTGAATTGTTGACAGTCATCGACTGTGTCTAAAAGGTGGAAGAGGTCAATTATCTTCACCAGACTGGTACAGTTGTGAAAATGTGTTTCTACGCCCCTTGTGCATCCTCTGCCTCCAAACTGCCCCGTCGCAGTAGTAGTATGACTATTTATGAATAAATGGGTATTGTTCGTGTAACGACGAACGTGACTGGTGGATAGTTTTGCTATAGGTCATATAAGTTGGCAGTTTGGAGACAGATTACCACAGGGGGTGTAGGAATAAGATTTTTTTTTCAGATGTTTATACAAAATAGCCCAACTGCAAATGAAATAGCCCCCAAAAAATCCACATCAACTGTGACTAGAGGTGGATTGGTGTCGTAATGTAGAGAAAATTATCCCACACTTGACATATAGGTCACTAATGTTGGTATGCAGGTGGCTCGTTTGGGTATTTTATCAGTGGCCAAGAATGTATGATTATTTCATATTAATTATACTGGGAATCTTAAAGGTAGTCCTGAAAATAATGTACATTTTGTAGATATTATTTATTTTCTATTGACAAAACTCTAATAAACCAAAAAGGAGAAAATTACAAATAAGGCGATTGAAAGCTTAGTGTATAATATAATTAAAAGCAATAAATCTATAAGTCACTCATAAATATATATAGTATTTATAAGCAACTCATAATCATATACAGTACTACTTTGCTGTCACTCAGAATAAAGTATGGCGATCATCCAGCTACTATGCAATGATATGAGTTATTATGGATGTCACCTACGTTGGTAAGTTCTCAAGTGAATAAAGAGGCCGATAAGGGACCGGCAGTGTCGTTCACAGATGTTGCACATGTGAAGGGCTACATCTAGTGAGGGAGGGATGGTGGCAGTGAGTTTCCGACGTTGGCGCTTGTCTGCCTCGGTATGCAGTCGGACTAACTCAAAAGTATTGACACCTTCTTGTGTGGTGCTCCCTCAAGGGTTACGGTTTGGAGTAATCATCTCCCAAGTGAAGTGGTCTATTTGGCACGTTTTTAGGTTTGTCTTAAGACTAGTCTTATACCTTTTCAGTTGCCCGCCAGTGTTACATATATTGTTCGTTAGGTGACTGTAAAGTAGCTGCTTTGCCAGTCTACTAAAGGCAAGTATGAACTTTTCATACTTCCCTGTTGGGCGCTGTAAACGCTTCTGCGCTTCACCTTGCACAGGATGTAAGGGGGTGCCCAATAAACTAGCCCCCTCGGGGTCAATCTGAAATCTGCCAGTCTACTGTCATTCATGTGGGTAAAATGGCCAGTCCAGTGTAGTTGTTCATGGATAATGGTAGTCTTGATGCTCCGACAGTTGGTGTTAGTGAGAATACTGACATATTTTCTCTTGTCTTCTCAGCGAATTCGGAGAATGGAGCGTAGACTACGTTGGTGAAAGTTTTCAAGTGCCTTGAGGTGCCTCCTGTATGTGACCCTTGTCTCGCTGCCATATAGCAGGGTGGGGAGGACCACTGCTCGATATACGTGCAACTTTGTAGCTAATTTCAGCTCCCTACAGCTGAAGACACGGATACCGAGTCTGACAAAGTCTTGAGATACACATCTGATCTGGTGCTGAATCTCTTCATCGATGTCCACAGTGGTGGACAGGTGGGAACCGAGATACCGAAAGTGGGTAACATTAGAGAGGGTAGTACCGTAAAGCTAGATGGATGGTGAAGGTTTGGCAGAACCAGGAGCAGGCTGAAAGACAATCTGAATCTCATGTACATTCACCTCAAGACCGAAGAATGCATAAACATCTGCGAAGGGGTTCGGGATCTCTTGTGGGTGGTGTTCAG